TGATTGAGAAGGGTCTAGGCCCGAAACGTCAGCCTTGCTGCTTGGCCTGCTGTGTTCATCCAACTCTTATTATCTCACCTACTGCGCGTACTCCTCGGTCCCATTCACAACGGTCATGGTCCGATGGGACGGCGCCTGCTGCGCATGCTCGAGGCGACGCGACACGACGCGCCCCGATCACATGGTCGTACGTGGCTCCTCCCCCAGAGGCCACGTTATCTGTGTGTTCCGAGCGGCGCCATGTGAAGGTAATGGCGGGGGGGGGGGTTTATGTTTGTCAGGGCTGTCGACTCCTTGCTGTTCTCAATTGGACGTACATCTGTTGAGATCGTTTAGGCTTTTAAAGTCATGATGCTCATTGGGAGACCCGGTAAAATGATCTCCTGCTCTGAACGATTCTGTGATTCACTCTCTAGTTCATCTATCCAGTTTAATACCAGGCCAGAGCCTGTCACTGGGCGCTCAGATGGGGACCTGGAAGTAGTGAATTTTCCCTGTTACAGCAGTGCTAGTATAACGTATACAAGATTACTGGCAACAAATAAGAGTACCATGTCAATTTGAAATTTACTTGTTTCCTAAACTTTAGTTATTACTATAAAACATTGTTTCATTGACAAATTGGTGGATTAGTGTCTAATTAACTGGATAATTTGATCTGGAGACTATGAATTGAAATTCCACCACTGCACATTCAGCATTTGTACAGTTGAAAGAATCTGGAAATAGAAAGGTGTTACCAGCAAAAGTGATTTCATCCTCTGCTGGAACCATGCCAAACTTGAACTAACTTGGAATAAGTAGGATGGTGTGTAGCTTGGAGGTGAACTTGCAGGTGTTGTTCACGTATCTACTGCACCTGTCCTTCTAGGTGGTAGTGGTTGTGGGTTAAGAAGGTGTTGCCTAAGGATCAATGGTGAGTGTCAATGGAGTGAACGGGAATGCGATGCCAGTCACTTGGAGACAGTAAGGACTGCAGATGCTGGAAGCTAAAGTCAATAAACGTGGAACTGGAAGTGCATAGCAGGTCAGACAGCATCCGAGGAGCCAGGAAGTCAACATTTCAGGCCGAAACCCTTCGTCGGTCAAATAGGCTGCTTTGCCTTTTGCTTTTGCACTATTTTGCTTTTACTTGTATGGCTAGTTCAGTTCAGTTTTGGTCAAGGGTAACCCCTAGGATGTTGAAAGTTATTGCTCAGCCATGTTAATGCCAGTGAATGTGAAGGATGATGGTTGGATTTGCTCTTGTTGGAGATGGTCTTTGCTGGTTAATTGCCACTTGACAACCCAAATTTGGATGTTGTTGAGGTCTTGCAGTATTTGGACATGGACTACTTCAGTATCTGAGGATTCATGAGTGGTGTTGAATGTTGTCAGCGAACATCTCCACTTCTGACCTTACAATGGAGAGAAGAACAGTGATAAAACAGTTGAAAATTGTTAGGCCAAGGACTCTACCTGAGGAATTCCTTCAGAGATGTCCTGGATCTGATATAACTCCAACAGCCAAAACTATCTTCATTTGAGCAGGGTATGACTCTGATCTCCATTAACCCCAGTTTTGCTGGGGATTTTTAGTCAAATGTGCCTTTGATGTCAAGCTCAGTCATTCTCACCTCACCTCTGGAATTTAACTTGTTCATCCACATTTGAGCTAAGGCTGTATTGAGGTCAGGAGCTGATTACCACTGGCAGAAACTGAGCTGAGTATTAGTGAGCAGGTTATCACTACCAAGAGTTGTTCGATAGCACTGTTGATAACTCTTTGCATCATTTTACTGAAGGTCGAGAGTAGAATGATGGGGTGTAATTGGCTGGATTGGATTTGTCCTGCTTTTCATAGACAGGCTGTACCAAGGCTGTTTTCCACATTGTTAGATACATGCAATGGTATAGTTGAACAGGAAGAGCTTGGAGATCTGGAGCACAAATCTTCAGTAAGGGATCATCCATTTAAGCCAGAGATAAGGAATTTCTTCTCTCAAAGCATGGTGAATCTGTGGAATTCTTTACCACAGAAGGCTGTAAACACTGGGTCATTAAGTATATTAAGGCTGAGATAGATCAATTTTTTAATCAGTAAGGGAATCAAAGATTATGGCATAAAGACAGGAAAGTAGAGCTGAGGATTATCAGATCAGCCATATCTCATTGAATGGCAGAGTAGAATCCATGGGCTGTATGGTCTACTCTGCTCCTATGTCATCTCGTCTAATAAACCAATATACAGGATCATGGCTGGAAATGCTGGACACTGGCAAATGTACAAGAATAAGGGGAACTAGGAACGAAATGGTGACATCACATTATGTTTTACCAATCTTAAAAAAACGTGTGGAGAAAGGAATCTGTATGAAGTGATCCCTGATTCTTTCCTAGGCCCTTGGTATGTTATTCCTCTTCCTGAATGTGTTGTGAATGATGGCAAGGTTATCTTGAGACTAGCAATGCAGATGTAGATACTGGAAAGGTACAGAAGTCACAGGGTTGTAGTCATAGGTGACTTCAACTTTCCAAATATTGATTGGAAACATTTTAATTGTAATAGATAGATGGAGCAGATTTTGTCCAGTGTGTTCAGGAAGGATTCTTAACACAGTATGTAGATAGACCAACACGAGGAGAGGCCAGTTTGGATTTGGTGCTTGGCAATGAACCGGGCCAAGTGTTAGACCTGTTGGTAGGAGAGCATTTTGGCGGTATTGATCATAACTCTGTTACTTTTACAGTAGTCATGGAAAAGGATAGGTACATACAGCAGGGAAAGGTTTATAATTGGGGGAAGGGTAATTACAATTCTGTTAGGCAAGAACTGGGTAACATAAAATGGGAACAGATGCTGTCAGGGAAGAGCACTATTGAAATGTGGAGATTGTTTAAGGAATGCATACTAAGTGTGCTCGATCTGTTTATCCGTAGCAGGCAGGGAAGATGCAGCCGAGTGAGGGAGCCTTGGTTCTCAAGAGAGGTCGAACAACTCGTTAAGAGGAAGAAGGATGCTTATGTAAGGTTTCGGAAACAAGGAACGGAAAAGGCTCCAGGGGGATACAAGTTATCCAGGAAGGAGCTGAAGAAAGGGCTTAGGAGAGCTGTAAGGGGGCATGAGAAAATCTTGGCAGATAGGATCAAGGAAAGCTCCAAGGCTTTTTACACGTACGTGAGGAATAAGAGAATGACCAGCTAAAGAGGAGGGCCGATCAACGATTGTAAAGGGAATTTGTGCACGGGGCCTAAAGAGATAGGAGAGGTCCTTAATGAATACTTTTCTTCGGTATTCACAACTGAGAGGGACCTAGTTGTAGAGGAGGACAGTGTGAAACAGGCTGGTAGGCTAGAGGAGGTCGCTGTTAGTAAGGAAGATATGCTAGGAATTTTGAGGAAGTTGAAGATAGATAAGTCCCCCGGGCCTGATGGGATTTATCCAAGGATTCTATGGGAAGCGAGGGAAGAGATCGCAGGGCCTTTGGCGATCATCTTTTCGTCCTCACTGTACACGGGTATAGTGCCAGAAGATTGGAGAGAGGTAAATGTCATTCCCTTGTTCAAAAATGGGAATAAGGATAACCCTGGAAATTACAGGCCAGTTAGTCTTACATCAGGGGTGGACAAATCATTGGAAAGGGCTCTGAGAGATAGGATTTATGATCACTTGGAAAGGCACAGTTTGATTCGTGATAGTCAGCATGGATTTGTGAGGGGTAGATCATGCCTCACAAACCTTATTGAATTCTTTGAAGAGGTGACCAAACTCATGGATGAAGGTAGAGCGGTGGATGTGGTGTACATGGATTTAAGTAAGGCATTTGATAAGGTTCCCCATGGTATGCTCATGCGGAAGGTAAGGAGGCATGGGATAGGGGGAAATGTGGCAGATTGGATTCAGAATTGGCTGAGCCTTAGAAGACAAAGGGTGGTAGTGGATGGAAAATATTCAACATGGTGCTCAGCTACGAGTGGTGTACCAAGGATCTGTTCTGGGTCCTCTTCTATTTGTGATTTTTGTAAATGATTTGGATGAAGGAGTGGAAAGGTGGATTAGTAAGTTTGCGGACGATACAAAGGTGGGTCGCGTTGTGGACAGTGCGGAGGGCTGTTCTAGGTTACAAAGGGACATTGATAGGATGCAGAGCTGGGCTGAGAAGTGGCAGATGGAGTTTAACCCTGAAAAGTGTGAGGTGATTCATTTTGGAAGGAAAAACTGGAAAGTAGAATACAGGGTTAATGGAAAGATTCTTGGCAGTGTGGATGAACAGAGGGATCTTGGGGTTCTTGTCCACAGTTCCCTGAAAGCTGCCACCCAGGTGGATAGAGTTGTTAAGAAGGCGTATGATGTGTTAGCTTTCATTAATAGAGATTGAGTTCAAGAGCCGTGAAGTTATGCTCCAGCTTACAAAAGCCTGGTTCGGCCACATCTGGAGTATTGTGTCCAGTTCTGGTCACCTCATTACAGGAAAGATGTGGAAGCGTTGGAAAAGGTGCAGAGGAGATTTACCAGGATGTTGCCTGGAATGGAGGGAGGGTCTTACGAGGAAAGGTTGAGAGAGCTAGGGCTTTTCTCTTTAGAACGTCGAAGGATGAGAGGTGACTTGATAGAGATGTTCAAAATGATCAGAGGTATAAATAGAGTAGACAGCCAGAGACCTTTTCCTAGGGTGGAGGTAGCTATTACAAGGTGGCATAGTTTTCAAGTGAGTGGAGGTAGATATAGGGGAGACGTCAGAGGTAGGTTCTTTACTCAGAGAGTGGTTGGGTGTGAAATGCATTGCCGGAGAGGGCAATGGAGTCGGCCTCATTAGGGGCATTTAAGCGGCTATTAGATAGGCATATGGATGATAGTATAAGGTAGGGGTGGAGGTTAGATAGACCTTAGGATTAGGGGAAAAGTTCGGCACGACATCATGGGCCGAAGGGCCTGTACTGTGCTGTACTGTTCTATCTTCTATGTTCTATGCATCAAAATCAGAATGACTGATAAATGTAGAGACAATCGTAACATAACTAAGGTAGAATGGGAAATAAATGAAGTAATTGGACACGTTTAGTGTCAAACAAATCAGGAGGAAAAGTGAAGTAGAACAAAGATACTCAAAAATTGATAAAGTATGAATGGATAAATAACTCAACATGAAAGAAAATAATTGATCTTTAATAACAAAAGATGATTCTCTTTGACGGCTTGGCAGCAATGGAGCTCACTGAAGTTGTCAATTTGTGGGATAAATTCTGGCTCAATGGAATCAGAATAGTTCCAGAATAAATTCAGTTTCTGGCCATTGGGTGAGCAAAATGTTTATAAATTCAATGAAAATCATAAAGATGGCAGCAGGGTAACGCTGCAATATGGAACTTTGACAGGGCATTGTGTTGGCTTGGATGGCAACGCAAACTTTCCTGCTGTTCCAGTAGGATTGCTCTGCAGAAGTAGAAGTAAGGCTTTATGGGACAGAGCAGACAGCACAGAAAATTTTCCCCTTTCCTGGTTCTGATATCCTTTGTACATAAAGGTGCAAAAAAATCACTCATCACTCTGAAAGTTAAAAATGGTGCAGTAATTTTTATTTGAAATTAGAAAATACACATTTATTCTGGATAATAGCATGAAGAGATGTACTAAAATATCATTTGACTTTTTTTCCCACAGAAACTTCAATGCTATTGCACATTTTTCGTGGGCTACACAAACATCTGGTGGCTGTTATATAAAGCAGTCAGTCTACACTCAGTAAAAGAGCTTCCAAACAAAACTTCATTCGCTTCAGTCAGAAAGATGAAGTTAATCCTTTCCAGTGTTGTGAATGGATGTCGCCATGGTAAATTGATTGAAGTAGGACAAAACAGCAGTAAAAGCCTAGACATTCCTGGTTGCCTGCTTTATACCCGGACAGGCAGCGTTCCACATCTGACCCATGACACCCTCAGTCTTATTGAAGGAGTTCCTGAACCTGTGCACCTGACATTGTCAACACTGTATGTGCAAGTATAAAACATACCTTTTTCTTCTGTCCTTGAGGTGTAATGTAAATATAAGAAGCACCTGTCAAATGCTGGATAGAAACACCATTCAAAGATGCATATTCACCTGGTTTGGTTTAATTCAAGAATGTCTGTTGAAATGTTTCTTTGCCTTCAGGTGAAATGAACCCTGGAGATCTATATATGTAATATGTTGTGTGATGCCATTTGACTGCTGTTTATCATCCCAGTAGCCCTATGTTTTGCTTGCTAGTTTCATTGTAATGTTGGGTGGGAATACCTGCATGTTCGCTAACTTGAATAGTAAGAGTGCAGGTCCTGTCCTTTTTCTTGTACTGTTTTACATGGTTCTTTTTCAAAAGTTTAATCAACTCGTCTTAAGTATAAGTTCTACCTCTATAGATCCTAAATAAGGCATTCCATAGTATAATATGTCTGTGTGGAAACAATTCTTCAATCTACTGATAAATCTGAATAAATGCTGCTTGGTGATCTGTTACACTGATCCCAACGTGAATCTAAGTGGCTATGAACCTTTCTTTTGGATGGGGATATATTTTGCTTAGGCTTGGGGTCCAAGTTAAGCTGCCAATTCCTCATTGATGAGCACCCCCAACTATTTGTATTGACCCAAATGCAGCATTAAAACTGCATGTATCATTTTAAATTTAATGAAACTAATAAAGCAGCTATTTTTCTTTTAAAGTAAAATACAGAAGTATCACATCGCTGGTTGTTTATTACCCTTTCTTTGTGTTGCTCTATTTCCTTACTCATAATATTTGAATAGTTGCTGACTTACAGGTCAGGACTTGCAATTTCAGAAGTTATTAATTGAATTTTAAATTCCACACCTGTTGTGATGGGATGTGAACTTCTAGCTGCAGCTGTTAGCCTAGGCTTCTAGATTATTAGTTTGGTGACAATGACAACGACATCACTGTATCTCCAATGAATGACTGTTAGCAAATGGGAGCCATTGCAGTGAAATTGAATCTTAACCTCACCTGATTGTCTCGCTTTTAGCTAGGTCAGGCACAGCCACAGAAGCCTGACTAATTTTCCCCTCCTTACCCAGTTACTGCCATACTGCCTGATCAGCGTACAAAACGGGGAATAGAAATTGACATCCGTTATTTGTGCAACTACACAGTTTGTGAAAGCATTGTAGTTGGATAACAAAGACATTAACAACCTGCAATTATTTTAAAGAAGTGCTTTTCTATTATGGCATGCAGAAAGCATAAGGTACAATACCTGCCTATATGCATTGGTTAAAATCACGACTGGCCTAATGTTCTCCCAATGTAACCCTGTTTTGGTGCTTGCTGTGTGAGTGGGATTGGGATAGATGGGGTGAGGGGCAGTGGAATTGAGAGTCAGCAGTGGGGGACTTTAGAGATTGCTGAGTGTGTATTGGGTGGTGGGGGGCTGCATGAAGATATATATTTTACAGAATTTTTAAATAAGGAACACTCAGTTTTTCCACAGGGTTTTACCAGACAGCAATCAGGACTCATGGGTTGGCCAGTTAGGGAACGCTCAATATTTTTTGAAAAGCTGAAAGAGTTCAAGGGGCCAGGGCATCTGTTAGGACTCCGTAGGAGCTCTCAGCACCAAAATTCAACTGGTGACCCCACTGTGATCAGTTTTTAGAATGAACTACATTACTTTGTAAATGACCTGATTTAGGAAGGAAGAAGTCTTATTTTGAGGCAGTGCTTTTCTGGATAAGTCTGTGGTTTTACAATGTCTGTTCCGGGCTGCGTGGATCAATTTAATCTTTATGACATGATTAGAATAGAATAAAATTAATGTTTTTGTAATATGTAATAATGTTAACATACACGAACTCAGTATGACCATGGATTAATTGTAAGTTTTCATACATATGGTAAATTCTAGTTACTGTTTTAGTCTCTCAGGCACTGTTGTTGAAACTGTGCTGAGAATGTTTGTCGAGTTTGCAAGTATGACCTTGAAACCAATAAAGGAAGGAGGTCTGCAGCTGGTTTGGATTCATTTTCAGGTCTCACAGCCACGAAGCCTGTGATCAGTCCCAGGCCATACATAATCAGTACTGACGCCCAATTTTATTTATCAAACTGCAGAAGTTATATTTTTCAGAATACATAAGCTGGAATTTTATGAAGCTTACATTAACAAGATTGTAATTCTACCACTGATATTAACTAAGGATTTGCTTAGCAAATATCTTAACACTTTTTATCAGTAGTATTATTCTATTCATGAGTGCTTATTTGTTTATTTTCCTCTTCAGTGCTGAGCATCATGAAGTTCTGGAGGAGTATAAAGAAGGAATTGGAAAATTCATAGGTATTCATTGTAACCAATGACAAATGCGCTTCTACTTCAAATCCAGTACTAATTATTTTAAATTCTAATAAACATGCACGCTCCATATCACTTGTACTATTTTTGCATTCATTTACGGGAAGTGGGTGTCACTGGCTGGGACAGCATTTATTGCCAGTGTCTAATTCCTACTGAAAAGGTGGTGGTGAGCTGCCACCTTGAACTGCTGAAATCCATCTTGTGAATGTACAACCACAGGGAGGGTATTCCAGGATTTTAAACCATTGACTGTGAAGGAATGATTATACAGTTTCCATTCAAATAGTGTATGACTTGGAGGGATATTACAGGTCTTGGTGCTCCCATGTATCTGCTGCCTTTGTCCTTCCAGACAGTAAGAGTCTTGGGTTTGAAGGGTGCTTTCTAAGGAGCTTTAGTGAATTGATGCAGTGCATCTTGTAGATGACGCACACTGCTGGCATGCTCTGTAGTGGAGGAGCAAGTGAATATTGAAGGTGTTAGAGGATGCCAATCAGGCAGGTTTCTTTGTCCTGGATGGTGGCAAGCCTTTTAATTGTTGTTAGAGCTGCACCTATTCAGGCAAGCAGAGAGTATTCCCCCACATTCCTGACTTACACTTTGTAGTTGGGAAGTGAGGAGGTGAGTTATTTGTTGCACAGTTCCTAGCCACAGAATGTCAAGGGGTGATGGTTGAATTTTCATCTGTTGGAGATGATCATGTTACTTGCCACATATATGCCCATCCTTGAGGGTTGTCCATGCTGTGCTGAATTTGCATATGGACTGCTTCAATATCTGAGGAGTCACAATTGGTGCTAAATGTTCTGCCATCATCAGTGAGCATCCCTAATTTTGACCTTGTGACGGAGGGATGGTCATGATGCAGCTAAAATAGGTGGGCCTAGGACATTAGCTTGAGGAACACATGCAGCGATGTCCTGGAAATGAGATGATTGACCTCTGTCAACCACTGCTATCTTCCTTTATGCCAGGTGTGATTTCAGCCAGTGGCAAGTTTTGCCCCTGATTTCCATGGACTCCAGTTCTGCTTTTTGACGCCATCTCAGTCAAATGCTTCCTTACCTTCTTAAGTATTTTGTCCATGTTTTATCCTCTTTATCCCTCCTGGGTTTTACCCATTTGAATTATAATTGTAAAACTTATGCTAGCATTAAGTAAAACTTTTTGCTTTGAGTTAAGTTTGGGCATCACTCATGCCACTCTACAATTTCCAACATACATGAGATTTCTATTTGGTTTCTGGTTTTTTTGGCTTCATTTGTTTGATCGATATAGAAGATTGTTTATTTTATTTTTTTCTATTTTATGACAGGTATGCCAGAGTCAGTTCTGTACTGTTCTTTACATGACCCAGCTAGTCCATGTCCATCAGGATACAACACAAACAAAGTAAGTTGGTACAAGTGTGTGACAGAATTTAGAGGCTAATTTGGATAATCCTCTTGCCTTGCTTTTATTTCATGTCTTCTCATGGCTGTCAGCAGAGCTGCTCATCGTTGCTGTAGGTAGATTCAAATTGAGAACAAAGTGTTATTGCCAACATTAGAAAATGTAGTTCTGATTCTCTTTGCCCGTGTTCAAAATCTATACTTTTACTTCAGTTATTGAAGAGGCGGAACAGTTGAAGTTCTGCCTTAAATTTATCTCACAGGCTGGCTCTGAACTTGTTTACTTCGATGCTCAGTGGTTGTGTGGAAACAGTTGGTTATAAGATTAACGTCACCATTTCTGATGAAAGATTCTCATCCCTAAGGGACAATACCCAAGCCTTGATCACTGCATCAAGGAGAAGGTAGAGCTTTGAGATGAGGTGGCGTGGGCAGTTGTAGGAAGTGAGTTGGCACCATTTAATTTTAAGTAAGACATAACCATAATGAGATATTTGAAAAAGTTGAGGTTTGCACAATATAATTTTAAATTGTAACTAAAAAGTAACCATTGGATCATTTTTTAAAGGTGAAAACACTCTTATCAGTGCAATAAAATCCTGTATGAAAACAAATTCATTTATTTTTGATTTTTGGTCCATTGTGAGCTAATGTCTCTTTTTTGTTTCTTTCATTCAAACTGAAAAGACTGTATCGATTTGGGGTGGAGGTGGACGAATTGAAATAACTTTGTCAAAATTTATGGCAATGCAACAAGCCTTCAAGCCTGACTGGTACCAAAGCATGGCAGACGGAGAGGCTCTTCCTCCAGGAACTTCAAGGAAAAGGGTAAAGAAATCAGTGGATCGTACTCTGGGCTTCTTGGACGGTTGCCTCAAAGAGCATCAGAATTCAGAGGTAAGGAGAAGTTACAGCAAGAAGGTTCATATTGCATCTCATCTCTGAGAGAGATCTCCTCTCTGCTATGTGCAGCAAAATCATAGATGTTTTTCTAAGTCTTGCAAATAATGAACTAGAAATTCCCTTCTCATTGTAGATTTGAGAGCACAGTGTGACAATATTGTAATAATTTCTGATGCACCTTTTGGAAATAAAAAACAGTTTTTAAATGGAGAAATCATGTATGATGTGTTCCTGTCAATGACCTGCATTCCATGAGGAAGGCACTGTGCATGACCAGGATTTCTGAGTACTGCAGACCTCTTTAGAAGTATTTTGAGCATTATTATTTGATATCCGATTTGATGGATTTGGCAGAACATCTCTCTAAAACCCACGAAGCCCAGTGATCTGCGTGGCCTGATGATATTAACACCAGACCCTCTTTAACATTTTCCCAGCCTCAGCAAGCAGGAAATCCAGCACCAGGAGGCCACAGTCACCACTTTTGGGGATTGACCCTGGAAAACAGTAAAGAACAGGCCTCACTGCAGCGCTCAGGTCATAATCTGCAAGAAGCTTGAGGTCAGAACTTGCTGTTGGGGGTTGGTGACTAGATTGGGCTGACACTGACCACAGGAGTGAGGAGGGACCAGTCAGTAGAAGGAATTTCAGTTGCTTTGTTATGGGGCCAGAGGAAGCATTCCTGCATCAGAGTCTTTGCAGGCTCAGTCAGTAACTGATGAATATAAAATATACTCCCAATTTCATCATGAGAAACATGATTTAGCATGTCAATGGACTGATCTGTCTTTCCCAACTAGGACAGGGAAGCCTTATAACCCAGTGTTAGACTGGTGACAGGTGTGTACACAGCAAGAGGGGACATTTCCTAATTTTTCATTTTTTAGACCAATGCATCTGTTCTGGTTAAAGTAATTTAAGAGGCTGTTTGCTGGTGCTCCTAGTTTGTGGCAGAATCAATTCTGTTTATGAAGGGTGTGAGATGTGAGCAAATACCATGTGATGTTGCTAGGTTCCTAATGTTGTAAAAGCAACTTCATTAATATATTTATTAAGCTGTTCTGATTATAATGCAAAATGATAGAGCCATTGAAAAGAACATCATGAATTTACTGAAAATTGAACACAAGATATCCTTCTTTTCTAAGAATGGGGTAAATTAATGTAGAAACCACTTTTTGACATTTGGATAGGAGTTATACAACTGGCAAAAATTTATTATGACAATATAATTAGCTTTCTCTTAAACTTCCAATTTTTGGCACAAAACTCATCAGATACACTATATTGGTTCTCGGTCCCCTCAAATTTGGCACCCTTTATCAGTAGCAAGCTGGGCAATAATGCCAGCAAAGCCCACATTCCATAAATGAAGAAATGTTTTAAAAAAACATTTTTTTGATTTTTGGCCAGGTGTTGTACATGAACGTTCCCTTCTTTTTGCCACAAAAGTCACTTTTCCTGCCCCAGTTTGGAAGAACGCTTCAAATTGCATTAACATGCCATTTTCTTATTTCCCCACACCAAATTGAAGACATTTATGTGACACGCAAGGTAAATATGAAGAGGATTGGTCTTTGAAAAACTGAAGAGTTTTTGAGGTTGTCCCCCACTGTGTCAGACCAGACTTTTGGAACTGATAGCCCTAATACCCTACACAATATATGGGTGATGGTGGCATTGTGGTAATGTTGTTGGACTGGTAATTCAGAACCCTACTGTTTTGGGGACATGGGTTCAAATCCCACCACGGCAGGTGGTAAAATTTGAATTCAATAAAAACCTGGAATAAAAAGCTAACATAATCGAAACCATGTAACAACTGTTTGTCTTGAAAGTTCATCTGGTTCATCAATGCTCTTTAGTTCATTCTTACCCAGTTTGCCCTAAATGTGAATCTGAATCCACAGCATTGTGGTTGACTCTTAACTACCCTCTGGGCAATTAGGGTTGGGCAATAAATGCTGACTGAGCCAATGATGCCTACATCCCATGAATGAATTTAAAAGAAAAACAGTTGTTACTGTTTTGTAAGCTAGATGATTTAGAATACATCATATTACTCAAGAGAGTGTAACTGCAAACCATATATAAAACCAGACTGAGTACCTATTTATGAATGCTAACAGCATGCTTTTAAATTTTAAGTAGGAACTCACCTTTTGCAAGGGCACTGGAAGCAACAAAAAGTAAATTTGCACAGCTCTGTGGTTAGAGCAAAAGAATAGTGTGATTTGACTGCCTGACTGGGTGTCCCAATAGACTCCATGAGCCAAGTGGCGATTTATTGTGAAAACGTTGTTATAAACTATTATTGAGCAAAACTATTGTGTCTTAAACTGTCAATGGGCTCTTTTTAATTAGAAATGCAACAAAATGCCAAAAGCTAAATTCTGACAGATTGTTTGTCTTCAAGGGACCCAAAATAGATTTGAGGAAGGAAAATCAAGAAGTATTGAAAATGATTAGGAAAGAGAAAACGTAATATTTCAGGCATTGTATCCTTTCATGAGAATGTAAATGTTCATTAAAACTAGTGGCAGCAAAAAGGGTCAGTTTCAGAGGAACTGGAAATGTATTCATGCAACAGTCTTGAAATTAGAAACCAAACAGGAACAAATTAAACCTCAGACTTTGAGCTTCTCACAGCACTCCAAGAAATTTTCCATCAGTGAACAGAATTTAGCAAAGGTGTGCTATCTTGGTGCTTGCAGTAAGTTGTGGCGAAAACAGGAGGACAAAAAGTCAAATGTTCCAAAAATGATAACTTGAATGGAGAGTTACCAGGTTTTAGTTCAACTTCTATTTGAAAAATCAACATGACAGTTACACTCCAAAGGCAGCTAGGAAGCAGTTGGAATTTTTAGGTGTCATGTTCCGGGATAAGAAGGAGGGCAGTATCAAAGGTTTAAGATGTTTACCCATGGCTGCTTTATGTTGACACTCAAACTGCGTAGCCCCAATAATGATTCTTGTTGGAATTCTTGGTGTAGAAGTGGCATTATCTTTCATCCTGAAAAGAACAAGGGGGTAAAATTGTCTTTCTTGAATTATGATGTAATTCCTTGGCCATCAATTTATACGGTTGTGAAGATTTTCCAGTGATGTAAATCCTTTCTTGTTTGCCTTAGTGGGGAAAAAAAAAGAACTAAAAATATTGATTTTGGATGAATTGATTTGCATAGTGCCTTAAACATGTTGGCAAAGATAAAAGGACTGCAAATTAGTCAGAGCAGTGGCTGAAAGTTTAGTTTTAGAGGTAAATTCTCAGAAAGTTTCTTAGTATGAAAGGAGATGTGAAGAAATATAAAGAAAGGACTTCCAGAAAATTTATAATGGTTTAGCTGAAGACTGTGCCAACTGTGGGGAATGAAAGGAAGACATGATGCACAGAAGGATGGAGCTGAAAAGGTGTTTTGAGAAAAGATAACAGGGCGAGACCAAGTGTGGACGTATGTTGATGCACAGCTATGGAGGGATTTAAGGGTGGGGATACTACAGGGAACAGATCAGCCAAACTAATTGGCACTCCATCCACCAATGCTCAGTAGCATCAGTGTATGCTATCTCCAAGATGCACTGCAGAAATTCACCAAAGCTCCTTAGACAGCACCTTCCAAACCCACGACCACTTCCATCTCAAAGGACAACGACATCAGATGCATGGGGACACTACCATCTGCAAATTCCTCTCTGAGCCGTTCACCATTCTGACTTGGAAACGTATCGCTCCACTGTCATTGAGTCACAGTCCTGGAATTCCTTCGCTAACAACATTGTAGGTCAATCTGCAGCAAGTGGACCACAGTGGTTCAAGAAGGCAGCTCACCATCCCCTTTTCAAGGATGACTAGGGACAGGCGAGTAATGCTGCCTTAGCCAGGGACTCCCACTTCCCATGAATGAATACAAATAAGCAGCTGTTTGGAAGATGCCTGGCATGGTTGTCAGGTTACTTGCTTTCAAAACTTCAGCCACTCCTTCAAATCCTGGTTTTAAACAGCTCTTTCTCGTTTCAGTGCACAGATTTTAAAAACACAAAATAATAAAACAATCCTTGCACTTTGGAATTAAATTTCTCTAATAATAAATCCAAACTCCCCTTGCATCTTTTCATCAGCCTTCTCAACTTGTCCTGTCATCTTCAAAGGTCTGCCCACACACATAGTCTTTCTCTCACCCTCTTGAAAATTGTATTTTTTAGTCCATCCAGCCTGTCCTTGTTCTACCTATAAAAAAGTATCATTTTGCACTTGTGTTAAATTTCTTTTACCATGTGTGTGCATTTTAGCAGTCTGTTTATGTAAGAGAAATTTCTGCACCCAGACAGTGTTGAATTCTCTGCCACAAAAAAGCAGTTGAGGACAAAACATTGAACGTTTTCTAGAAAATGAATATTCAGAAAACCTTTTTATTAACCAGCACTTATGGGACCAGGCATGTGCCGGTTGATCAAATATTCCAGTTGATCAAGTCCGTATAATCAATGTAAAAACACACTACCTATTGCAACGTAATGTTCCACATCACTGTTATACTTTACAGCATAAATCACTTAAATAATAATGCAACCTTATCTAAAATAAAACTTACCAGCAAAGAACCTTCTAACTTGCCCCCTCAATTGACTACTCTGACATTGCGAAGATTGCGATAATACAGTAAATTTCCGATATTTCAGGTATGTAATTTTTGCCAGTTTGAGAGTGCCAGTTTAAACAAAACTTGCTGTTTAAGAGTTAAAGGGATCATTATAGGAAGCATGTGGAAGCATTGGAAAGGGTGCAGAGGAGATTTACCAGGATGTTGCCTGGTATGGAGGGAAGGTCTTATGAGGAAAGGCTGAGGGACTTGAGGCTGTTTTTGTTGAGAGAAGAAGGTTAAGAGGTGACTTAATAGAGACATACAAGATGATCAGAGGATTAGATAGGGTGGACAGCAAGAGCCTTTTTCCTCGGATGGTGATGGCTAGCACGAGGGGACATAGCTTTAAACTGAGGGGTGATAGATATAGGACAGATGTCAGAGGTAGGTTCTTTACTCAGAGAGTAGTAAGGGCGTGGAATGCCTTGCCTGCAACAGTAGTAGACTCGCCAACTTTAAGGGCATTTAAATGGTCATTGGATAAACATATGGATGATAATGGAATAGTGTAGGTTAGATGGGCTTCAGATTGGTTTCACAGGTCGGCGCAACATCGAGGGCCGAAGGGCCTGTACTGCGCTGTAATGTTCTATGTTCTAAGGATATGGGATAAAAGTAGGAACAGAGTACTGAGTTGGATGATCTGCCGTCACCATTTTGAAAGGGGGAGCAGGCTCGTAGGGCTGATTGGCTGACTCCTTTTTTTTGATGTTTCTACTTTCCTGAATTCTATTGCTGTCTCCCTTTTTTTTAACAGCATTTGAGTGTTACAGCAACTGTAAACCAGTATACCTACATTCAAGCGATTAAGATACAACAAAAAGGAGCAGTGGTCCAAATTCTGACCCATTGGGATACTACTCTACTTCCTTCTAACAAATATTCACCAGTAAACTCTCTGCTTTCTGTCCCCTAACCAATTTTCTTTTCATCCCTACCACTATAATCCTATTGAATTCAATTTTACTAGTCCATTATGTTTTACTTAACTGAATGCCCAAGTACGCAACAGTCACACTTCCCTCATTGCCCTCTCAATTACATCATTAAAGAATTCAAATCAAGTTAATTGCACATAATGTAATTTTCACAAATTTGTCCTAACTTATTAGCCTATGCCTTTCCAACTGGCAATTAATTTTATCTTGGATTGTTGCCTCTAAAAATATTTTCAGTATGGGCATTAGGCTGACTTATCAGTTTTGAAGTATTAAAATATAATAGAAATTGCAAATTTAACTTCTAATATTTCATAGGGGAGCAACATTTTTGTAAAAGATGCATTGCAATAAATTAAAACAAAGTTACTACATTTGGTGTTTATAACTTTGTGTCAGGTGCTGAAGAACAGTGAGATTCTAGGTGTAATAGAAGGAGGAGACATTCTTGAAGAAAGACTGAGGTCCGTTAGAGAAACTATAAAGCGGCCAGTTGGAGGTTTTCTTTTGGATGGTTTTCAGGGAGAGGATATGCCTGACAACCCAAAATTGAACTTAATCGCCTCAGTCACAGGAGAACTGCCTGAAGACAAACCCAGGTAAGGAAAAATGTATAATATGCAATTACTCTGCCTTATTTGAATAGGCATTAATAAGCACAAGTCACCAATCCTTTTATTTTAAAGCAGCTTAGGAACTTATGGCAGCAGCAAAGATAGTGGCATCTCTTTCTGATAACTGGAATATAGTCGATTTCATTTTGTTGTCCTGAGTTACGTTAATGTGAAATAACATTGGTCATTTAATGGGGCCTTTTTCCTCAATTAACTTTGAGTGTCATTGTAAAGTTGTTTGTAAAGTTAGGCTGATGTAGGGTCACGTGGCCTGATCGGCCTGTTCTCCTCCCTAGCTCACCTTTTCACTGCTGAGCCTCTTGGCTAGCAGCCTGTTCTGCTTCCCAAGTCATCCTCTTGCTGGTAACCCCCGGCACCTGGCCTCTGCTGCTCACTATCCTACTCTTTCCCCAAAGTTCCCACTTCCTGACTCTCTCATTCACTGTTTCTCTCTCCTGAGCCCTTGTTGTGAGCCAAGGTTCAAGTTGAGAGACACTAGGAGCAGCTTCACCTTCCAAAGGTTTTTAATAACACCGCCTTTCAGAATGATCTTGGCTACATAATCCTGTCTGGTGTGAGTGTTCCCGCTATTTTCTGTTTCTGTGCACTTTTGATCATGGCTCTTGAAGAAAGCTAACCGGATTCCAGAATGTGACTGTTTTGTTGCACACCTCTTATTTATATTGTGATATTTATTCACATTACCCTCTCCTCCTCTTCCCTCCCACAATATTAGGTTGATCCACGGAATTGGAAAGCCAGATGAAGTGCTGGAGTGCATATCAAGAGGAGTGGATTTGTTTGAAGGTTTCTTTCCCTATCTAATGACTGAACAAGGAAGAGCTCTGACATTCAATCTTAAATACAAGGTGGACCCAGAGGCTGAAGGTAAAGTTATAGAATGTCAGTGTATTATCATTATGCAGTGAATAAACAAAGATTGCCACACTTTCCATAGTAAGACATCCAATTTATTACTCATGACTTGGTGTTATTGCCTACCTGAATATAGGTCCGGTTTAGAAGCAGCAAGAGTATATGAGCCATTTGCACTGTGAGCAGGCTTTGTTTCCTCACCACCTCCATGTCAGCGGCCTGATATGGGTCAGTCACCCCACATTCACCACCTTGTGCGATGTTGCCTAATCAGTAACAAGAACCTAAGAAACAGGACTGATCACCCCAATAACCTCCGTATTCAACGTATCGTTCTCCACCACTTCTGCCACCTGCAATCCAACCCCACAACCAAAGAGATATTTCCCACGCCACCCGATCTGCCTTTCGTAGGGACCGCTCTCTCCACAACTCCCTCGTCTGGTCCACACTCCCCACTAACCCCACCAGCCCCAGCATCTTTCCCTGCCCCTGCACCTCCCCCCTCACCTCCATTCAAGGCAAAAAACAAACCTTTCACATCAGACAGAGGTTCACCTGCACATTGGTCAATGTGGTCTATTGCATTTGCTGCTCCTGATGTAGCCTCCCCTACATCGGTGAGACCAAGTGGAGGCTCAGAGACTGCTTTGTAGAGCACCTGCACTCTGTTCGCAACAAACGACAACACCTTCCGGTCACGAACCATTTCAGCTCCTGCTCCTGCTCCCTGGGCAACATGTCCATCCTGGGCCGCCTGTAGTATCGTTGTATCGCAGTGCCGCCACCCGGAAACTGGAGGAGCATACTCATATTCCGCCTTGGAAGCCTACAATCTGATGCTCTCACTGTGGACTTTCAGTTTCAAAATCTGCCCACCCCCGGCCTCATCTCATGACCAATCTTCCCTCTCATCCCCACCTCCTTGAGCTGATACAACCTGTCCATCTTCTCGCCCACGTATCCCCTCCCCCACCTCACTGACCAATCCCCACCACTCCCTACCTGCACTCACCTATCACCATCCCACTTACCTTCGCCAGCCCCACCCCTCCTCTCTCTCTTTATTTTGGAGCTCCCTTCCCCCTCCCCCATTTCTGAAGAAGGGTCCTGACCCGAAATGTCAACTTTCCTGCTTCTCTAATGCTGCCTGGCCTGCTGTATTCTTCCAGCTCCACACTATGTTATCTCTGACTCCAACATCAGCAATTCTTAGTATCTCTGAGCCATTTACATTGCACAAAAGGTAAACAGACCATTAAGTTAAAGGTTGCAACCCCAAAGTTACCTGAATTGTTAGCCCTGTTGTATGCTAAAATTAAAATGTTGATTTTAAAGAGAGACAACCAATTTTTCTACATTATAACATTTTGATGTTTGTCAAAATGAGAGGTGTCAATGATATAATTGTCAAGCTCATACAGATCTCTAATTACTTAACCTTCAACCTTGAGATTGTTGGCCATCTTGTCTGTATTCTCAGTTCCCCTTATTTCTTTGCTCGGTGTAGCAATAAATAAATATGCTTAAACAGATTGTTATTGTTACAACATGAAAGAAATTGAGTATAACTACACTTATTTCAGGACTATCAAATACGTCAGTTTCAACCATACTGATATTAACCCCCTTCTTTATGGTTCAGATGAAGAATTATGTTGAATGGATATTGACATTTCTCATTCAGGTACACTTCATAGCTTTTTAATACCAGATCCTGTGACAGCACCTTCCAAACCCATGACCATTTCGATCTAAAAGGACTTTTAGAACATGGGAATACCACCATCTGCAAGTTTCCCTCCAATCCACTCACCAACCTGTGAACTAACTCCAGAAAGACCAGTGTCCCGTTACCAAGTCATCCTTTATTTACATGTGGAAAGTCCTTGACACTGATCCAGCGCTCTCAGAGCCAGCTGTCAGAGTGATAAAATGTCTGACAGTCCTGTTTTTTTTTAAACTGTCAGCCAGAGCTCCCTGATTGGAGCTGTTAATTCGGTGCAATCAGGGGACTGATATTTTGAAGTCCACCTGGCTGACCTTGTCACAATGAGTACACTGACTTGGAAATAAACCGCTGTTGCTGTAGTGTCACTGGGTCAAAATCCTCGCTGTTTCTCCCTAATGGCATTGTGGGTTTATCTACAGCACATGGGTAGCAGTGATTCAAGAAGGCAGCTCACTACCAGCTTCTCAAGTGCAGCTAGGAACGGGCAATAACTGCTGACCAGCCAGTGACATTAATGTCCCAAGAGAGAATAAATAATAAAAAAAAACTGAAAGTGTTGCTGGTTGTACAGTTGGATGCATTGAAATGTTACAGTTTAGAGATTTGTTCTTTTTTAAATACAAAACTTGTATATTCTAGATATTTAATTATTGAGAGTTCAGAATTTAGAAATACCGAGACAAGTTTACCTGCTAAGAGTTTTTTTTTGTCTTGGTTGAGATCTGCATTTCCAGGTTTGTGCAGATGTGCAGATGCCACATCAAAGAGAAACAAGTTAACTCTGAAGTAATTTGGTTAACAATATGGATAACTATGACCAAGAGAGCTGCTCAATCCACTCTCCTGTACTGCAGAATAGCAGAAGGGATTACTCATTGTCAGTGTTACCTGTTTCATGGCCGTAAACCTGGCATTGAACTGAAGCCTGGTTTTGATTAACATCTTATTTAATAGTGTAAGTTGCATATTAACATTCTTTGTTCTGGTTTGAATTTCAATGAAAATAGTGGGTATATTCAGGTGTCTTAATCCATTTTGCTTTGAGGCCATTGGATCTGCTGCAAGATATCCACTTTAGTTCATAGGTGCCAGTCACTCCGTTATCATGTTGGTTGGCTGTGTACAAAAGTTAACTTCTCTGTCAATTGTCTCCTAGGTGGTAACCAGACCCACCCAATGTCTAATATTATGATCTGAACCAGATTTGCATTTGATCCTTTTATCTTTAAAGATGGAACTCCGGGTGAGACATGGCTTGGTTTTTAAACTAGTTATCTTATGGTGGCTAAAACTTGTAAAAACATACCGAATAAGACAAATTTTATTTGGAACATCTTTTATTTCAACAGTTTTGTTGGAATCAGCGTCATGCAGAAAGGGGACATTCAACCTATGATACTCCTCCTGGCTGTGCACTAGCTAACTACTAGTTCCATTGTCCCACTGGCAGATCCTTAGCTCCAGCTAACAACTTTGCAAACTGTACATGTGTAAGCAATAGGAAGGGCTTAATGTCCTGATCTGTGCAGTTAAACAAGATTATCAACTACTTTCAGATTGGCTGCAGATTTATTTCTGACTGGCACTTGTAGAGTTGGTTCGTAGTTTCCAAAGTTGTTTTCCTTTAAGAAATAAAATAGATATGTGGAATTTTGAGGGGAGTAATAAGTAATTGTAATCTGATCCTCTGAAAATGGAGATTAAGAATGTCAGCATTGAATTCAGAACAAGGCATGTACTGGCTGAGAATCAGGAGATCAAGGAACTTAATATACTGTACGCACCACAATGAATTCCTTTGTATCTCAGCAGAACAAAAGAATCTTGTTGGTCCCTTACATCATGTACAAGACCAACAACTTATATCTGCTTACAACACAATGACAATTGAACAATGTGAGAGGAACCACATTTATTCAAGTAAGTTAGCAGTAACTTAAAACCTTGAACAAATTATCATTGTTTTGTTATATGCAGCTATTTCTATTTTCTACATATTAAAAGTGCATGAGTACATTTGCCCTTTATTAACCAGCAAACACACATTTTTAAAGAAGAAAAACAGGTTTTAATATCGTGAAATGCAGTGCTGCATGCCTCTAACTCAGGCTCAAACTTACAAGCCTCTCTGATTTGCACATTCACTGACAATACTGTTAATATTTAATTGATCCATTCCACTCCTTACTTAACAATAGTGACATGTTGCAACTTTAAAAAGGCCAACTACAGCTTAGATGAATAAAGCATTTTATATTACATTCTGGTACTGATAAAACGATGGATTTGTGAAACAATTGCAATGAAATATATCATGACATCCACTATTTATTATGCAAGAAAACTGTCCTGATTTAAACATTTTGCACCCTGTGTTTTAACTAGTGTGTTAAAATGTATTAACTGGAAGATTTATTTTAATAATGATCTGATACCTGAAATTAGGTCAGAATGAGAAGATGCTTTGAACTTAATGGCAAGTAGCAAATTAGGGCTGCATATATTAAAATTATAATAAACACAAATGTTATGCTGCAGTAATATTTATAAATCTACTGTACTTATTTTAAATTCAGCAACTCCAACAAGTATTTTTCCCTTTTCTGTCATCATTTTGTAAAATGGCAAAATGGTCAATTGTTCTTTGAAGACCTCAGCACCCTATATGTTGTAGCTGGTGTTTCACAGTATTATTTATGTCTTTAGAGATCTGTGCACCAGAATGTCCAGATCTCTTTCCTTCTCCACCTTTTTAATACTTTTTCCCCATAGGATGGATAAATGATAAATACTAGCCCTTCCCATAATGCTGTGTATATTGTAATTAACTATCATTTGTCAGCCATGAGCTCAATCTCCCAATATGGCAGGATCCATCTGCAGCCCTCAAAGATTGTCTACAGTCCTGACATTTGCACAAATCTTGCTATCATCTGCAAATTTGCACAGTGTGTTGCCAAAGCCTTCATCCAAACCATTAATAAGTTTGTCTTCCTACCATGCCTCATACTTTACAGTCAGACTCTGCTTTCACCAAAGGCAGAATGGTGGCTCAGTGGTTAGCACTGCTACCTCGCAGCACCTGGGACCTGGGTTCGATTCCACCCTCGGTTTTCTGGTTGCAGCTACATGTGAACTGAGACCTGGAGCAGCACCTAATTTAGTGAGAGAATAGTGGCTGAGAGAAGCTACCTCAGCAAAGATCAGAGATAACCCTGCAAACTCATTGTCCTAAATGGTGAATTGAAGCAGTTTTACTAAGTCAGTGAGGAAAACCTGACTTTCTACTTGAGCAGAACCATCTCTATACAAAAAAAGATTGGCAGTAATGAATATTTTTGTACCTTTTTATGTTATCAGATAACTGCTTCAGGTATTTCAGTTTTGTGATCAGCATTTGTAATATTCTTCGTAGTTTGCTATTTTTGTGCTCTTTGCATCATGATAATTCTGTTTTTTGGTAATATGTGACAAAGCGTACAGTGGAATCTGCATTTTGGGAATGTATGATATTTATATTGTTTTTGTGAATGGTGCAATTTATTCAAATGTGATTGTGTGGTTATATTTTGAAATGCTCAGTCTGGTCATTTAAGGTGGTTGGTTAGTGAGCTGCACAATGGAAAAATGAAGTGTGGATTCACGGGATTTCTGGGAAATAACAATAACTAATTATAAGAATGGTGTTTGCATGCTGCTTGAAATATAAAACCTCCTTTGGGGCTATAGGTTAAGGTTTGGGTCAGGTTAAATGCAGAGTATGTCCAACCTCTTACTGCTTCTTTTTAGTTTGTACTTTTTGCTGGAACCTGTTCTCTAACCCTTCCTGCGTTAGTGCAAAATGCTACACAACCATACTGCCATGAATTTGGTTTGCAGAGTGCAGCACCATCAAATAAACTACAGACTATTTTCACTTAATCTCTGTTGGAGGGTGAAAAGAGCTATTCAAGAAAAAGTCCTATTTGAAAAATGCAACCTTCTGAATCTGAAATATGAAGATTATTCGTGAGTCATCACAACTAAATTAATTAACTGTTTACCTAAAGGCTCTCCGCTCTCTTTTAACGTTGAGGAAACCTTGATCTTCTCATTGTTCTGTTTGCTTTCTCAGACATCTCTAAAGTACAGCCACAATGTTTAATTAAATATACGATTGTGTTGTCTGTGTTCAACTTGCACACTGAACTTTGTTGTGCATTGCTAATTGCCCTAGAGAAAGTGGTGGTGAGCTGCCTTCTTGACCTGTTGTAGCCTACCTACTGTGGATGCATTGACATTACTGTTAGGAAGGGAGTTCCAAGGTTTTGATACTGCATCACTGAAGGATCAGTGATGTAGCCCCATGTCAGGATAGTGAAGACTTGGAGGGGCACTTGCAGGTGGTGGTGTTCCTATATGTCTGCTGCTGTTGTCCTTCTAGATGGTAGAGGTCATGGATTTGGGAGATGTTGTGAAAGGAACAGCGTTCTGTTGCCTACAGTACATCTTAAAGATGGTACCCACTACTTCCACAATGCTTTGTTGGTGGTGGGTATGAAATGCCACCCTAACTGACTGTATATTCCTGGATGGTATCAGGCTTTCTGAGTGTTATTGGAGCCACACTCATCCAGGCAAGTGGAGAGAATGCCTTCATACTGCTGAGATGTACACCAGAGCTGGTGGACAGACTTCAGGCAGTCAGGTGAATTACTGTTGCAGTTTCTTCTCAAAAACATTGTGTCAAAATTCATTTTTAATAACTTGTCTAAGATTTGTACCTAGGGCCTTTGTACCTAAGATGGTGCCATAAGAGGCGACATTGTAAAACTCTTCACTCTACTCCTATACTTCTGTATTTGAGTACATGTGACGATAAAGGATATTCTAAACAGTTCTTGCATGTGCTCCAGTGATTGTTAACTAATTTCAGTTTAACAGTTGCATCACTGCAACTGAATCAAATGTCTCGTGAATGATGCAATAACCAGGGAAAGCTTTCTTTAATGTCAAATTTCACCCAATGTTATCTTGTACACAAGAGTTGAGAACAATAAGAGCACATTGTATAATATAAGGTAAAGCTAAAGTTCTAAACAGTGCTTTCGATTATATTTCAGTGCTGGAACGAAATGGCTGTGGGGACAATGAGATTAGTAACCGGGCCTCAGACAGTGGGGGCAAGGCAGTTCCTTTTACAACTGACCTGAGAAGCGAACAGTAAGTGTTGACTGAATTTTTAATAAACTGTCGTATCAATATGCATGAAGTGTTCAGTAAAGTCTATCCTATGAATATTGTTTTTCTATATGATTTGGAATCAGAGCTGTACAGCATGGAATTAGACCCTTCAGTCCAACTCATCCATGCCAACCAGATATCCTAAACTGATCTAGTCCCGTTTGCCAGCATTTGGCCCCTGTTCCTCTAAACCCTTCCTGTTCATATAGCCATCCAGATGCCTTTCAAATTGTAATTGTATCAGCCTCCACCACTTCCTCTGGCAGCTCATTCCATACACGCATCACCCTCTGTGAAAAAGTTGCCCCTGAAGTCCCATTTAAATCTTTCCCCTCTTACCTTAAACCTGTGCCCTCTAATCTTGGACTTCCGCTCATCCTGGGAAAAAAAGGACCTTGGCCTGACCCTATCCATGCCTCTCGTGATTTTGTAAATCTCTACAAGGTCATTCCTCAGCTTTCAACGCTCCAGAGAAAATAGGCCCAGTCAATTCAGCCTCTTCCCTATAGGTCAAACCGTCCAACCCTGGCAACATTGCAGAAAATGCTGATTTAATTCCTCTTCTGAGGGCTCCTGTAGTTCAGTATCCGATCAGTGTCAGCTTTGTATAGTAACCAAACATCTTGACATACTTTTCCAGCAATGGAGACTTACTTTCACAGTGAATTACGATATTCCTGCTTTTTTCTGGTTTCCGGACGAGTACTTTGCTTATGTTTGTAAAAAAGAATAATGTTCCATTATCATGAATGAAACAGATGAATTGCAGGTGCATCCCTCTGTCTTCTGTTGCCAACATGTTATTCCAGTACTTATTTCTCCTGTATTGCACACCTCTGTTCACTACTGTTTAGAATTTTTTTTTGGTGTTTTGTCCCAAGTGATCATTCTGCATGTGGAATCCTCAGCAACAAGCCTGTTCAACCTACCTTGCATTGAGTCTGATCGGAATGTGGCATGGGAGTGGGTCATTCAGTCCTTTGAACCAATTCCACTGTTTACTTGGTTTTGGTGTGATTTCTGCCTGGACTCAAACAGCTTGGTTTTGTAATCCATAATGCCTTTGCTTAACAAACAAAAATTAACTCACTTTTGAAATTTTCAAATGACCCAGTCTCTGATGGGAGAGTTCCAGATTATTGTTTGTGAGGAACCACTTCCTAACATTGCCCATGAATGAATTGGCCTTAACTTTAAGGATATGTCTCCCTAGCTCCAAACTGGAGAAAATAGTTTCTGTCACAACTCTATCAGCTCATTTAATCATTCTTAAGTCAGTTTGAGTTTGTGCCCATCATTTTGCCTTTGTAGTCCCCAAAGTGACAGGCACAGAATTTTCAGTGTACGTAGTGGCAGATTTATCAGCGTTGAAAGCTCTGCCCTTATCGTTTCTCTTCACAGTGCCCTCTGTATAACTCTCTTGTCATGCTGCAGACTGTTCAGATAGGCCAAACTAGTAATTAAACTTGGAAGCTTTATATAATTCTCTCACAACCATTGCTTGCACCCACTAAACCATCTGTTCATTTTATGGGATGGATACCTAATAGAACTCTTAATCTGTGGAAGACAAAAATGATTCTTGAGGGTAATTATAATGAATTATTTATCACGAGCAGTTATGCATTGATATGATATCTTTTAAATTACTTAGTTTACAAGGATATACAAATCACAAAGTTGGATAATTAACATTTTCTGCCTCAGTGAATTATTGATGGAATATATGCTCTGAAAGAGAATTCAGTCAATAGAGTATAATGCAGTTCTCATAATTTTGCGATCCCTGATAACTGTCACTCATTTTTAGTTTTTTACTGGTACTAAAGTTTGTGGCTTATCGTATATTGTTGAGAGAGCTAATGATTCTCTGGTTGGTTTAAAGGTGTCTATTTTCCATGTGGTTCTGTGACTCTTGACATTCAGGTACCGCGCTGATTTCAGGCCCTTGTTGGAGGACTGTTCCTGCTATTGCTGTAAAAACCATACGCGTGCCTACCTCTATCATCTTCTCATAACAAACGAGCTACTGGCCGGAGTTCTTCTCATGATTCATAACCAGCATCACTACTTCAGTTTCTTCCAGTCCATTCGTGATGCTTTGAGAGATGACAAGATGCATCAACTTAAGGAACTCATTACAAAACAGAAGTTACAACAGTGACATGTTTAATATATGATTAACAAGGGAGGAAATGGGTATCCAATGCATAAGGATTTCAAAGTAGGTAGACATCATAATGTGTTACTTGGACTTAGTGTCAGTTTGGTTATTTTGACATTTGATGACACTGTGATTGTAAAGTCAATGCTTAGCCTCCTCATCTCCTCCAGGTTATGTATCATTCACATTACATTAATGTATGACTATTAAAATTGCACACACTGTTTGAAAGCCATGCTTTGATTCATTAATTCTTTCACCAGTGTGTGCAAATTATTTTTAAGAAAATGTTTTACATTAAATGTATGAGTACAAAAAGGCTCGTAACATGATATTTTGACTTGGCAGAAAACAAGTCTGATATGGTGAATGTTTGTAATTAAAATGACTATCCCAACAAATTTCTTGAAATGGCTGAATTGCCTACTTCTTTTTACCTTTTATTTTTAACATTTGTCTAATTGTGAGAAAATATGGCCAAAATTCCCAGAAATTACTTGACAAAGCTCCTACTTACAATGAATTCCTATGCTTACTGTTTTAAAGTTTACATTTTGCTGGCTGAATGTGTAATGTATGCGCCAACAAGCTTTTAAAATTCTTTGCAGACACTGATATGTAATTTCTTGGGGCAGAAAGTGTTGTTGGAAGTTCGAATAATTAAATGTGCAGCCATTGGTTTTGTACCTGAGAAATTAAGGGCAGGGTCTGCCCATGTGTCATCAAATGAGCTCTGAGGATCAATGGGAAAGCAAGTCGTTCTGTCCTAAACAGGCAAATGTTTGCTTTTACTAAGCAAACCAGATCCAGTGCTGGTTGCAAGAGCCCCATTATTAATTCCACTAGCTTTACGCGTATTGAACCAGGACTTGAACAATCTACCCAGTGGTTAAGCAGTTGCTGAAGGTCCCTCAAAAAAGAAGCCACTTTTTTTCCCTCAATTACATTTTCATAGGACTGAAAGGAACCAGTATCCTCTGCCTGGGTCCACACAGCTACTGTGACTCACTGATGGTCAGAATACCTGCTGCAGCTTCCCCTTTTTTGGTCAGAAATTGGGTAGGAATTTTATATAGATGCGTCAAATCTTTCCTCCAGTGTCTTTTCATGTCCTAGTTTACTAAGTTTTATATAAAATAGTATTCCATGGAACTTAGTAAAGTGAGTTATTTCTGCAAACTATCAATGTACCAATTTAAATCACTATTATATTTCAATCTTTCTTTCATAAAGATTTTAAAAATTACGTCTGTATGAAACAAAAGGAACCCATTTTATTTGAGTCAAAATTGGGAGTGGGTATTTTAGACTGTAAGATTTGTAGAAGTTTCTTTAATTTAAAAACATTTCATAATTTGAAAGCTGTAGTGATACATTTTTATCAAAACAGGTATGTTTTATCTATTCTGATGTTCATTATTATAAACTTGTGATATTTCTAATAAAAAATGACTGATCTGTGATATTGCTTAGAGTGAGTGAGTCTGTGATGTTCACTTGCCGAGCTGTGTTTCACCAAGTCTGTCCATTTGAGGTTGCAACTTTGATATTGCCAATGGAAAAGTAGTCTACAAAGGTCTATTTTTGATATTGATCAGAGGCTAACTGTCAGTTGAAGTTTCTGTAAGTTGGCAGCTGCTTCAGAACTCCGGCCTCCTATCTTATGAAAGAGAACTGGCTACCAAGTCGAGGCTTTTCAAAAAATAAGCCAACACATTGATTGAGATGCACATGTTTTTAAGACTTTTCATATAATCTTCTGATTGCAAAAGATATGCAATCAAATTTTGTGATTGTGACCATCTACTGTCAAGCTCAAGGGATTTTTGCTAATACTGATCCTAGTCAGTTGTTATCCCTCAAACAAAATATCACTTAATAAAATTGATTTGCGATTACATTGCTGGTCTTTGAGCTGCCATGTTTCCTACAATACAACGGTGACCACACTTCCAAAGTACTTCATTAACTGCAAAGTGCTTGAGACGTCCTGAGGTCACGAAAGGTGCTATATCTTTTTTTATCTATTGAATAAACTATAAAGCATTAAAACAAAACCATTTCCCATAATAATATATTGAAAGAGAAATTACATTCAACCAAGTGAGAGCTAGGTGGCAGTGTTATACACCAAAGGATTCTCTTTTGAGTCCATTGGAACCTGTTATATTTTATGTCACAAGGTAGGAATACATCAGGTAATGTTTTCATAATCATCATGTGATGTCTGTCTTGAGATATATGAAAGACCAAATTAATAGGAAATTTTTGTAAACAAAATATATTGATTAATGTTGATAAGGTAAGTGCTAAAACTGGATAGGAAAATAAAATGTATTAAATGATTTTTGTTTCTTGAAAAAGTCAGCTGCCATTCACCAAACTATTCTTTGGCTTTTTAATAACAGCCAAGGACCCCCTGCCATTTAAATTCTAGGAACGAACACTGACAAATTTAAGTTTTATCTAGACTTGTAAACTTTAATCCTGCATTGATGTGCTTGATGTCAAGTTAGACAGTCTGTGATGTGATTCCTGAGATGGAGCAGCTATTATTCTCTGTATTTTTTTCCATGCATTTCCTGCTCTAATAGTTGAGGTTTTAGCATGAGATAACCAATTAATTTAGTTAAAACCCTGAAAGAAAGCTGAGGACTTATTGATGATGTAAACTATGGGCTACATTCTTGCAGCTGTGGCGCTGGCCGAATAAACACTGTAAAATAAGTATAACTCATTCATTAATGTTTCGCAATAGGGAAGGCCCAGTCGAACAATTGACCTGTGTGTGTAGCACAGTTTTTAAAAATAATCAAACATCATATTGATGAAAAAAATTGCAAACAGTATCTTATATAAATGCAAAATTACTATTAGTTTTACATTATCATCAACCATTTCTATAATGAGCCAATTGGTGTCGCTGATTAACAAAATAAAATATCTGTATTCCAGCAATTATTACAATAGCATTTTCCTGCATTAAAACAATGATTATGTTTCAACTGTATCAATGGACGGTGTAAAGTTGTGAAGGGCACATATGAATGCAATTCATTTGAAGCTTACTTAATACTTCTGTTTTGCCATTATAGTCCTTCTAGATGATTTGTGCCATTTTATCATTAGTTTCATAATTGGCCAACAACTCCATGATCATTTGTATGTTGTGACCACTAGTATGGTTGAATGGCAGCTGCATGAACTTGATGAAATGAGAGAAAGAAACCAAATCGATGACGAAATATGAAGCAAAATTGGACTAGAGGTTACAATCTAAAATTGTTAAACTCAGTGTTGAGTCCAGAATGCCACATAGTGTCCAGTCAACACCGTTTCTGAGCATCATTGAAATACTACATATTAACTGCATTCTATTTTAGATTTAATAAAATCTTAATCTGATCAAATATGCATTATATTGGAATTTAAATGAAATGGCCTTGAGTTCTCTCCCAAATAATCTTGCTTTGTTATAAATGTTTTATCCATAGTAAGTAGGTCCCTGCCAATGTCATGCAAAGCAAGTGAAATGTTGCAGTATAAATTAAAACATGTAACTGCATATTGCATAAAGGAGTAAATGGTATATTAGTGAGAAAGTTCTCCAGGGAACTTGATGAATCACTGCGACAAACTGGCCAATGGAAATTTGTGGGTGGCATATTGGTGCCATTCCAGTAGTTTATCCAGTCAGACCACTGTGGGTGAGGTAACTTGAATTTGGCCAGGCCTGTGACTTGTGTTAATCAAAGTCAGAAACTAATAGGGCTGGGTTACTACTGGCACAGCGGTAGTAACTGTACATTTGACCAGAAAGCTTGGGTTCAAACCCACCTGCTATTCATGTCGTTTTTTCATTGGTTTGGTTTCTTTCTCTTATTTTATCAAGTTCATACAACTCCCATTCAACCATACTTGTGATCACGTTGAATAGAGAATACCTCGATCTGAGTTGCTGCATTCACACACGTCTACCTACTGACATGACAGTTTTTTGCCATTGGTTAAAAGTAATTAGAAAGAGGTGATTAGTGATTCTGATCAAACCAATCTGTTCAGGCATGTTATGACAAGAATTTTGGCAGTGATGGGATTTTAACCTAAGCTTCCTTATGAATTCCACATCTTGGTCTGCTCACCCACTTTATGTATAAAAGCAAACTGTTCAGACATATTATGAATCACCTTAGGGCAGGAGGGACTTGAACCCAGATCATCTAGCCCAGAGTTTGGTGACCATAAATTTGACACTTGCTTGAATGACAACCATCATAATATGGTTACTCTGAATGGGGTTCAAACCTGGGGTGGGAATCCCCAAAAGGTTTAAAGTTCAATGTCTTAACGGTTACATATAGATTTTTGTGCTCACTTCCTGGTGGGACTTGAACTGTGAACCTTGAGATTCTGAGGCAAGAATTTTACCATTGAGTTTCAACCAACCAGTATCCTCTCTTTCTTTACTACTTATCAAAAGATCTCTGAATTGGATTGTTAAGTACTATTAAGGCTGATGTACAGCTCGGAGGTACTAACTTAATTGAGTTTTTTGAAGAAGTAACAAAGAGGATTGATGAGGGCAGAGTGGTGGACGTGATTCATATGGACTTCAGTAACACTTTCGACAAGGTTCCTCACAGTAGACTGGTTAGCTAGGTTAGATCACAATGGAATACAGGGAGAACTAGCTATTTGGATACAGAACTGGCTCAGACGTAGAAGGCAGAAGGTGGTGGTAGAGGGTTACTTTTCAGACTGGAGGCCTGTGACCTTGTGGTGTACCACAAGGATCTGTGCTGGGTCTGCTGCTTTTTGTCATTTATATAACTGATTTGGATGTGAACGTATGAGGTATGGTTAGTAAGTTTGAAGATGAAAAAAATTGGAGGTGTAGTGGACAGCGAAGAAAGTTACCTCCGAGTACAACGGGATCTTGATCAGATGGGCCGAGGAATGGCAGATGGAGTTTAATTTAGATAAACGTAAGGTGCTGCATTTTGGAAAAGCAAATCAGACCAGGACTTATATACTTAATGGTAACGTCCTGGGGAATGTTGCTGAACAAAGAGACCTTGAAGTGCAGGCTCATAGTTCCTTGAAAGTGGAGTCACTGGTAGATAGGATAGTGAAGAAGGCGTTAAGTATGCTTGCCTTTATTGATCAGTGCATTGAGTATAGGAGTTGGAAGATCATGTTGTGGCTGTACAGGATATTGGTTAGGCCACTTTTGGAGTATTGCATGCAATTCTGGTCTCCCTGCTATAGGAAGGATGTTGTCAAACTAGAAAAGCTTCAGAAAAGATTTACAAGGATGTTGCCAGGGTTGGAGGGTTTGAGCTATCAGGAGAGGCTGAATAGGCTGGGGCTATTTTCCCTGGAGCATTGGAGGCTGATGGGGTATCTTATAGAGGTTTATAAAATCATGAGGGGCATGGATAGGGTAAATAGGCAAGGTCTTTTCCCCGGGGTGGGGGAGTTCAAAACTAGAGGGCATAGGTTTAAGGTGAGAAGGGAAAGATATAAAAGGGACCTAAGGGGCAAATTTTTCATGCAGAGGGTGGTGCGTGTATGGAATGAGCTGCCAGAGGAAGTGGTGGAGTCTGGTACGATTACAACATTTAAAAGGCATCTGGATGGGTATACGAATAGGAAGAGTTTAGATGGATTTGGGCCAAATGCTGGCAAATGGGACTAGATTTATTTTGTATATCTGGTTGGCATAGATGAGTTGGACTGAAGAGTCCGTTACCATGCTGTATATCTCTATGACTCTATGAGTGATGTAAATAAAATGCAATATGATGAAACAGTGAGCAAATCTTCATTGGTGGAGACCAATTCCCAGTTCTAGGTAGGGTCAAACCATTTTAGAGGTGTAAGTGAGCTGGAACAGGTTGACTCGGAGATTAAACCATGAGAGCAAATAATTAGGGATCAGAAATGGAGCTCACCACAGTCAAGACTGGTTTCCCAAGAAACTGAATTGGGGTTTCATGGAAATCAAGGAAGTATAGAACAAAGGTCAATAAACGTAGCAAGAAAGGTGAGAAACCCTGCAAAGTTGCTACAGAAACAGCAAAACTAACATTTTTAGATTGGTACGAAGCATGGGAATGATTTTGCTTTCCCATTTACACCTATATTAGACACCTTTCTTTACATCCATTCCTTTTGCCTTGTGTCATCATCTTCATCACTTTTTTCAATTAATTTTCAATTAATCTCTCCACATGATCACAGACCTTCCCTTTTGTTCTTTCCTTTTCCTATTCTTTTCTGTGTTTCAGTATTTGGTTAAAACTAGTTGCATCCCTGCATCTTTCCAGTTCTGATTAAAGATCATTAACCTAAAATGGTAACAATAATTATCTTTTTAAAAACCCACTCCAGGTATCTCTACAAAACATGAAATGAATCCATTTTCCACAATCTTTCAAAATTTATGTATTCTAAATATCATTGAATATAAAATACCTCATATCAGTACAGTGTGGAGCTGGAGGAACACAGCAGGTCAGGCAGCATCAGAAGAGCAGGAGAGTTGGGACCCTTCATCAGGACAACTTCATATCAATACTGAAAAAAAAAAAGATATTCCAGGTGTCAGGAAAGGTCCAGGGATGGGAACATGAGCAACTTGAGATTCCAATTTTGTCTGTAATCATTAAAGAAAAACAAAAATCACAAAATACAAAATTGTCCCAGAAAACTGCTCAGTGGAGAATGTTTCTAAAAAAAACTGAACAAATATTAGAAATGGTAATATTTCCATAAATATTCTTGTCCAAATTCTTTGTGA